ATTACAAACTTGCAAAAATTCTCAAAAAGTTCAAAACTGAAAAGCAGGTTCTAGGTTGATTCAAGGCATAAGATTGATCGCAATAGCTTCCTTTGGTTCCCATGAAGCTAACTGAATCGTTCTCCAGGTCCCATACTTAAAGAAACGCAAGGTTGCTGTTAAAGTTGGTAAAAGAAATTTCGAAATTGCTTCCCATTATCCATGCATCTTTAACATATTCTATTGCTATTTTTATACTCAGAGTGATGTTTACAAACTAACTGTATGGTTTAATTAAGGTTTCATGCCCTATATGCCAATTCACCATTAGAGATGCCTAGGGTTCCGAAATTTTCAAATTGGGCGTTCTCAATTCTTATAAAATTAAGACGTACCAATGCTATGACTGAAATCTACAGGTTGAGACGAAGAAGATAGGATGTTCGCGCTCAATTTATGAGCATTCAGGACCTAATCGCTATTTTGGAAACACGCATATATTGAGGGGGTTCAAAACCCCCGTTAAACGTTTGTTATTTTTTTCAGGCAGAAAGAAACGCGAAGAAGACGAGTACATGGCACCATCTGAGTGGTTGTTTCAAATTTTGCGCGCGCTCCAAGCACTAACTCCCACTTTCTCTTTTATTAATTGTCACTTGTTATATATTAAATATGATTCACATGGCTCAGTGGCAAGTCCCTATGCGCACAATCTCCAAGACCTGGGTTCGAGTCCCAGGTCTGAATAATTCCATATTATTTTTCTATACTAATTCCCATGCAGGTCCAGCTTTGAAGTACACCATGCACCAGCATAATCAAGCATGCCACGTCCATTCCAACGTTAGATCAATGGCCAAGAATCTGAGGAACACATAAATCCTGGTCAAATGCGCCATACGTGATTGGGAAAGTCAATGAGATTTCCAGCAAATGGGCCAAAATCCTAGGGCCTCCACCTCCTAATCTGGGGTTACACCCCCCCTGGTTTGCTTCCTTTCTTTTTTATTATTTTATTTCTGATTGTTATTTTATTTATTTTTTATTTAGTTAATTATCTTTTTCTACAAAATATTAAAATATCAAAAGATACAGAAAATACAAAAAAATATAATATTTATTTTATTGTGATTATTTTCAAATTAGCATGTAAATAATTTAGTAAATTAGGTTATAAGTGTAATTCCTTTTAACAAAAATGTAAAAAATATAGAATTAGGTTAATAAACACTTTTTTTTCCTTTTTTTTAATTTTTTTCCTTTTTTTTCACAGTAATAATTAATTATTTATTTATTTTTTATGATTAAATTGTATATAAAAAATTTTAGGGTTTTATTTAATTAAAAATTTCAATATTTTCTTAATAACTAAAAAATAGTTAGAACTAGGGTTTAACTCTTTATTTTAATTTTAATTAATAATTCTCTTCCATTAAATCCAAAAAAACATAAAAATACCTAAAAACATTTTTCTTCTTAATTTTAATTTTAATTCCTCTTTATTTAATTAATTCATGTAACTTAAAATTTTTGCAAAAGGGTCCAACGCCCATTGTTTTAATTATTTTATTTCGCACTTTACTTTGCTTTATTTATTTTCTGTCAAATCGGGTCCGGTTTATTTTGGCGATGTGGACCCGCGCCATTTGTAATAGCTGTAGATTTATTTTTCCGCAAACTTTATAACTGTTAAAAAGCATGCAAGAATGAATGGCCTTAATTAAAATCAAGCGTAGAGCATAACAAACATGACAAGACAAATAACTGAAACGTGACACACAATTCGCACACACCACCCCTAGGGTACGCCTCACTGTTGCCTTTCGAAAGGTGATCGTCGAGTAGAGGACGTCTTAGTAAGTCCTCATGATCCGGGAACCTGGCATGAGGGTAGCTTCTAAGGTGTCTTCCCATTGCTCTGGTGATCACCACGTCCCTAAAACTCGAATTGACACGAACACCTCCAACAGTGGTGCTACCTACCTCTCAATGGTGGGATGGCACTACTTTAAAGGACATTTACACGGACGAATTCCTTAGGGTAGGTAGGTTCTCAAGGATACTTGCTCTAATCTCAAACAAATCAAAACATCTTTTCACTGACACTTTTCAAAAGCTTTCAAAGCAAATTTTTCAAACACTCTGACGTATGAGTCGAACTGAAATTTTTCAAAGAATCTTTTTAAACCCACATTGAAAAGCAAACAAACATTTTTGAAAACACATTGAGCAAGTATCTAAGAGCCCATGGATAACCATGGATAGAAAGGGTGCTAACACCTTCCCTTTCTATAACCTACCTCCCGAACCGAGAGCAATCTCTATAAGGAATTTTTCTGTGCTTTTGTCCTTTCCATTTGGAGAAAATAAAAGACGGTGGCGACTCTTGCTTCCGCGACATTTCGCGAACCAGCGTTAAACAGTCAGTTCCAGATCCACCGATCACAACATCCAATACACAACTCAAAAGGCAATCAAGGTAAGTGTGTTGGCAGACCATTTGGCGCATCAGGCCCTGGATGATTACCAGTCTATGAATTTCGAGTTTCCGGATGAGAACATCATGTTGGTGACCGACTGTGAAAAACCTGGACCGGATGAAGGACCTGAGGAGGGATCCCGATGGTCTATGTATTTTTACGGAGCTTCAAACGCGTTGGGTAATGGCATTGGCACCGTGATCATATATCAGGAAGGCTGTCATACTTTGTTCACCGCCCGATTATGTTTTAACTGCACCAACAACATGGCGGAGTATGAAGCGTGCATCATGGGCCTTCGAGCAGCTATTGACCTAAGGATTAAGTTCTTAAGTGTATTCGGAGATTCCGCTCTCGTGATCAGTCAGATCAAAGGAGAGTGGGATACGAAACACCCAAATCTTATTCCTTACAAAGAGTATGTGTTGACTTTGCTTCCGCACTTCGAGGAGATAAACTTTGAACATTTCCCCAGAGAGGAGAACCAGTTAGCAGACGCGCTAGCTACTATGTCTTCTATGTTCAAGGTCAGGTGGGACAATGAGGCTCCCCAGATTACCATTGAGAGGTTGCACGAAACCGCACATTGCTATGACATTGAGACTGAAGAGGTAACAAATAAACCCTGGTTTCACGAGGTAAAGAGGTATCTTGAGGCTCAAGAGTACCCCGAGGGTGCATCTGTTAATGATAAGAAATTTATGAGGAGATTCGTTGTGAAGTTCTTCATCAGCAATCGCATCCTATACAAGCGTAACCATGATTCAACCTTAGTGTGATGTGTGGATAAGAACGAGGCAGAAAGAATTATGGCAGAGTTACATGAAGGTACCTTCGGAACCCATTCCAGTGGACATACCATGGCAAAGAAGATCCTACGGGAGGGATACTATTGGTCCACTATGGAAGCCGATTGTTATCAGCATTCTCGAACCTGTCACAAATGCCAAGTCTATGCTGATAAGGTGCATATACCTCCAGTTCCTATGAACGTCTTGACTGCACCTTGGCCTTTAGCAATGTGGGGCATCGACATGATTGGCGAGATTATACCTACTGCGTCCAACGGGCATCGTTTCATCCTGGTAGCGATTGACTACTTTACGAAGTGGGTTGAGGCAGCTCCCTTTGCTACAGTAACCAAGAATGTCGTGGCGCGGTTTATTCATCATAATTTTATCTGTCGATATGGTGTACCAGAAAGGATCATTACGGATAATGGTACAAATCTCAACAATACGATGATCACCGAGCTCTGCAAACAGTTCAAGATACATCATCACAACTCTTCTCCTTACCGGCCGAAGATGAATGGGGCTATTGAAGAGACTAATAAGAACATTAAGAAGATTGTGCAGAAGATGACGGTGATATACAAAGATTGGCACGAGATGTTACCATTTGCTCTTCATGGGTACCGAACCTTAGCGCGAACTTCAATAGGGGCAACACCCTACTCTTTGGTGTATGGAATGGAAGTAGTCTTACCCATTAAGGTCCAGATACCCTCTCTCCAGATTATGAAGGATGCAGGTTTGAGCGAGGACGACTGGATCCAGACCCGGCTTGATCAGCTGAACTTAATCGACGAAAAGAGACTTACTGCTATTTGTCATGGTCAGACGTATCAAAAGCGGATGATCAAGGCATTTAACAAGAAAGTCAGACGACAAGAGTATCAAGTCAGGGATCTGGTGATCAAACGCATCATACTGCCGCAAGGTGATCCTAGGGGAAAATGGACCCCTACGTATGAAGGGTCATTTGTGGTTAAGAACATTTTCTCAGGAGGAGCTATGATTCTAACAACCATGGATGGTGACGACCTTCCTCACCCCGTCAATGCAGACATAGTGAAAAAATACTACGCATGATTAAAGACCCGCTATGTTGACTGGCCTAGGCAAAAATAAGGGCTTCCCGGTGAACCAAAAGGGTTCGGGAAAAAATAAGGGATGAAAATGAAAAATCTGTACACCCAGCAAGTCGAAAACCTGAAAAGGCGGCTTGGGCAAAAAAGGGTATCCCGGTGGACTGAAAACCTGAAAGGGAGGTCCAGGAAAAAATCAGGGATTGAAGCGTAACCCTATGTCTCATTGGATCATCTTGCAATCAGACTTCGGTATCGACTATCAAGCTCGGACGACACCAATCAATCTGATCTACCTTCAACCAAGTAGCAAAGTGATGAGATGCTTGAAGATATAAAGGCAATAGCAGAGTTGGAACCCAGTGGGATTGTTCACATAGCTATTTTTATTTGTTTTACACAAATTGTATAATTTCTATCATTCGACGGCGTTCTCTTACTAGGACGTCGGCCTCTTGTACAAAAAACGCCTATTTACAGGCCAACTTCAAAATCAATATAATTCATTTTTCACAAAGAAATTTCAAATTGTTTTTCTTTTTCTGTTTTGTTTTGCAAGAACGTCCAATGGTTCATTTTTGATATATGCATTTGACAAATAATTGCTGCTCATAAATATTTACATGCGAAACAAAAGATGATTACTCGTAATTTCAGGAACAGGGGCAAACAAGAAATGTCCAAACCTTACAGTTGCTCTGTCCACCAAGTATAGGGATAGATCTAGCTGGAGAATGCGATAAAGGGTACATTTACTCCCCGCGGAGCAAAAGGTATTTAAAAGCATTGATTCTCCCCAAGCAGAGTTTATCTATCACCAGCACTAGAAGATTATCCCCAGTGGAGTTTATTTCTTCCACAAGCAGAAACTCAATCCCCAACAGGTTTCATTATCGCCAGCAACGGTAATTTATCCCCAGCTGAGGTTATTCCTCCGAATCAACAGATCCTCTAGCAGAGCATCTCTTCCCCATAGAGTCATTTTCTCATCAGTTTATTCTCCAGCGGGATTATTTTCACAATCATCTTCGGTCGTTATTCCCAGCAAGAACGAAGAATCCGACTCTTTTCTCCAGCAGCAGTCCGAGATTTATTTTCCCCAGCTAGAGAACATCATAAAAACATTTCATGTCCATACATCATGACACGCGCATACGCATCATACAACACAATCTCATTTATTTTGAGAACATCATTGCTTGATACATGTCATGCATTACATACGACTAACCTTTACCTTTCAGGAAAGATACAATCAAATTCTCACCAAGTTCAAGATATGAAGCCCGAATCCGACCGGATAGTATCTTGATTTCTACATCATATTGTGAAGCCCGGAGAACGACCGGATAACAGTATCAAACACCGCGAAGCCTGGATTCGACCAGATAGTGGTTTATCTCTAAGCTATGAAGCCTGGATTCGACCGGATAATAGTTTAATCCCCAGCAAGCTGTGAAGCCCGGATTTTAACCGGATAACAGCTCAGCAAGTATTGTGAAGCCTGGATCACGACCAGATAGCAATACAAGTACCATGAAGCCTGGATTCGACCAGATAGTGGTATATCATAAACACAAGTCGTGAAGCCCGAACTACAACCGGATAACAGCTCAGCAAGCTATTGCGAAGCCTGGATTGCGACCAGATAGCAATACAAATTTCTGTGAAGCCTGGATTACGACCAGATAGCAGCCAAAGACACCGCGAAGCCTGGATTACGACCAGATAGTGGTACATCTCTAATACAAAGTTATGAAGCCCAGATTCGATCAGATAGTATCTTGATTTCTCCGAACACCATGAAGCCTGGATTCGACCAGATAATGGTATGAGACATCGTGAAGCCTAGATTACGACCAGATAACGATAAAAGCACTGAAGCCTGGATTACGACCAGATAACAGTGAGGGACACTGTGAAGCTTGGATTACGACTAAATAGCAGTTTACCCGACTAATTACTATGAAGCCCGGATTCGACCGAATATTAGTAGGCCCAAAATCAAAGGGAAGCCCGGAGGCGACCGGATAACCACTTGATTTCTTCTGAAGCCTGGATTACGACCAAATAAGAACTAAGGTATTGTGAAGCTTGGATTACGACTAGATAGTAGTACAGAAAACCATGAAGTCTGGATTCGACCAGATAATGGTATAAAGCATCGTGAAGCCTGGATTACGACCAGATAACGATAAAAGGACTGAAGCCTGGGTTACGACCAGATAACAGTACAAGACACTAAGAAGCTTGGATTTTGACCAAATGGCAGTCTACCTGGACAATTACTAAGAAGCCCGGAGTCGACCGGATATTAGTGTGCCCTAAATTCAAGTTGAAGCCCAGATGCGACCGGATAACAACTTAATTCCTTCTGAAGCCTGGATTATGACCAGATAAGAATCGAGAAATTGCGAAGCCTGGATCACGACCAGATAGCAAGATTAATCTCATCTCCCCAGTAAGTCACTGTAAAGCTTAGATTACAACCAGATAGCAGTCAGTCTTATCACTATGAAGCCTGGATCACGACCAGATAGTAGTTCATTTTCACCTCCTCGACTAAGAGATGATTCCCCAATCGAATAATGGACGACCGAAGCTCATAAAATTCTACTTCTCCTAAGACAGAGATCAACACTCCCCAACGTAGTCTTCTTCAATAACAGGTATATTGACTCTCACTAAGGAATCTCTTAGGCGATCGACACTCCCTCAGATGGAATCTTTAAACCCATCTTCCGTCATCAATTTATAAATGGCATCTGTAAGCCCATTCCCGACATCACAAGATAAATACCACTTTATGCGAGTGCAAATTTCTGGGCACTCTAGTGTTCAATCATCTTCCACCCTCGGATCATGAAAGGCAGACAAGCCAATCTACATCCTCAAGTTTAAGAAGATTGAACAGGGGAAGCTGTTGTACCCCAAAATTTGCCCTCCCATATTTCTCAGAACATTCCAAGAAAGATCCTCAAATTGCTCAAGGAAGTCCAAGGGTTGACCAGACAAACTCTCTCCTAAGGCAGTCTACCTCAAATTAGGGTTTCATGTTGCATCAAGATACTTGAGTCCAATGGATCCCAAATTCTCACTATTGTCCTAATATGTTCTCAAGATCACCCATGTCATGTTTCAAGCCCTACAGAGAAAGTTTGCTCAGTCAATTGCTCAAAGGCCTGAAAATCGACCGTGTTAGGGCAAAAGTCAACTGTGGCCTACATACAGTCAAAATTCAAGATTTTTGGTCAACATTCTCATTTTGAAGTATTATTCATCATTTGATCAAGGGTTGATCATTATTCCCCATGGGTTGCTCACAATTCATCAAAACCTAAAAGTTGCTAAATTAGGGTTTTGTAGGAAAAGTCAACTCAACTTTGACCAAGCATAACTTTCTCATACTTTTTGAGAAATGACCCATTCAAAGCTCAATTTGAAGAGGATTCAATTCCCTACAACCCATATGCAGCTCCCAAGTTCAAAATATGCACTCACAAGAAGTTATGAATTTGGACATTATAGGTCATTTTGAAAAGTCAATAAAAACACCTTTTTGTCAAAGCTTCATACATGAACATGGAATACCAAATTGAGATGATACCAAAAGGGTTGCTTAGAGGACATCTCAAGATTTCTAAAAAGTCCAAGAATACCTCCAAAGAGTCAAAATTGAGGAAGTTATGCATTGGTGAAATTGACCCTTTTTGCAAAATTGTCAAAAGTCAACTATGCCTCAAATTGCAATTTTTGTTAAATGGGCCCAATCTTTTGCACTTGTTTTGAGTTGGTAGCATGGTCCATGAGCCCTAGCTCTTCCCATTTGTCTTTATCTTATTTTTGCTATTTATTTTGATTTTTATTTGAATTAAATCAATTTAAATCAAAACAAATCATGAAAAAATCCAAATCATTGAAACCTCAAGATCTTGTGCATATTTCAAGTCTTATATCCAGCTAGCAAGTGAACCAGTTCGTGCAAGGCATAGGTGGGCACAAAAAGATTGATTTTGGCCTATTTTGGAAATATTTTCAAGTGAATCAAATCAAAATCAAAAGCCATGATTGATAAAGATTTAGAGCATAATTTCAACCCTAATTCAATCCTTGGTATATAGTGAACATTGGCAGACCTAAAACACAAGCTTTGGAGGCGTAGAGAGGCAGAACAAAACTTGAAAAAAATCGAAGAAAGTGGTGATCTGCTTTCATATTTGCAGGTACTTTCAAACCTTTCCAAGTATCCCTTTCGCTTCCTGAGCACTCAAGGGACCTATACTAATCAAGAACAAGGATTTTCCTGCGATAAAACCCAATGTAAGTGGTTCACGGCTTTGGCTTGTTCTTGAAATCTAATTGCATGATTTTGGCATCTATAGCATGAAATACTTATATATTCTTGCTCCTTGAAACATTTGCAAGCTATCTATAATATTCAATTGCATTTTGTGGACTATATCAGGATTTGCCATTATTATGGTTTCTGGTCTCGTTTTAGGGTCTTTGTGTACAGGTGAAATTGGCCCACAAGAAGGGCATCCTAATGCTCAGCAGGCCAAGACAGTTTGATTCATGGCCTTAGACTCCATTTATCATGCCCATGGGAGATTTTGAAACAAGCCAGAATTATAGTGACGAACATTTGTCCGTAGGTAAAAGTCTATGACTTTTACCAACGGAGAGAGGACAGGGACGACATGCGTGGCTCCGTCTCATTCGTCCATTCGAATTCTGGCGCGTTTTTTTATTTTTCTTCACTAACTCCCTTTATTACATATTATTGTTTGTTATTATTTCATATACAACGCGCGCATGTAGCTCAGTTGGTGTGGAGGCGAGTGGAGAAGGCCACAGGACCTGGGTTCGAATCCCAGGTCTCCCCATTATTTCATGTTATTTTTATTCAGATAATCAGGAAAGCACACAAGGCATGAAGACCACCATGGATCATCATCTCCTATCCATCAGATTACCAACCATCCAGATCTGAAGGCCATTGCATGAGGGTCCACCAAAAGCTCAATCAACGCATAGCACTGGAACATGGAAGGTCAACGTGGGTCAATTGTCTTGGGCCCAGAATTGCTATCCACACTCCCAAAATTACTTACAAGCAGGCCCAACTTTCTTTTCCTTTTCTTTTATATTTCTTTAATTAATTTATTTATTTATTTATTTATTTTTACTAACATCAAAATTAATCTTTTTTTAGTAAAATCACAAAAATAATATTTTCATCCAATTAGATTTAGGATTGATTTTTTTATACAAAAATTAATTTAATTAGTTTATTTAATTTTAGGGTAACTTTAATTATTTTGTAAATAAATTAATGTTAATTAGAACAATTAGGATTTTTTTTTATAACTTAATTTTATTTTCTTTTTTCTTAAAAATATCCAAAAATACAAAAATAGGCCATGTAAATTATTTTCTTTAAATTAACTTAATTAGTAATTAGGTTTTCGTATTTAATTTAAAAACTTTATTCTTTTTCTTAAAAAAATAATTAAAAAACAACAAAAATAATTTTTCCTTTTAATTAGGTTAGGCGGGGTCAAAACGCTAATCTCCCATCGTTCTTAATTCATCGTGCGCGCTTTATTATTTTATTTTACAATATTGATGTAATTGCTCATGGGATGTAATAGCTTAATTAGGACCTTTTCGTTCATTTATCATTTTTT